ATTGCAAATGCCACATGCATTACCTGCAAGTAATATATATATATATGCATATGTGTATATGCTAAGGCGATTATTCAAATGAAAATCTTCAGTTGGCACCTTTAGGTTGTTGCCGCCAACCGGTGTCAGTGCAAATCTTTTCACACGCATCGGCAACTAAGTAGCGAGAGACGGTATATTTACATTAAAAAATCTATATATGTATACACGTATGTACGACATTACGAAAAAGAAAAGTGAATAACTCCATGATATGCATTATGACAATGAGAAAGAGATAGAAAAGGTGAAGGGGAGAAAACACTAATTATATTGTAGTCTTTTAAGTGGAAACGTTGTCAGCCGCAGGAAGTACACTATGCCATAGCATGAAGAGGAGCTGTAAGTAAAGAAGAGGTGCTGGTTACTTATACGCATCGCTGGACTGAATTCTGGGTTCAGATTAAAAGTGTGGCAGCTGAAGTTAAAAAATATGGGCAACTTGGAAGCCGTCTCAGTTGTGGCGACAAGTGAGTGCGTGTCGGTATGTACATAAGTGTGCTACTTCAGCGGGCACGAAGTAGAAGATGAAAAACTCTCTAACGTATATACCTCATGATCCCATACAATAAATATCTGTATACGCAAGGCATTCTTCCTCATGAACAATTTATGGCAACTCATATGCACTGTTGAACAAGTGGAGCATTTACAAATGTAGCTAAAACAATAAAAATATTAAAAGAGCGCGCAAAGTGAGCACTCCATTATCATATAAAATGTTCAAAAGTGCCTATTCTCCTCTGCGGAATCCCTGTCAACTAAAAATCCTTTGAGAACACTGTTTAATCACACCTTCATCAAAAAATAAAACAAAGTGGAATAAAATTTAACTAAATAGAAATAAAATCGAATGAAAAGCTTTCAGAAAAACTAAAAAAATTAATATTTTTTTAAATCGACTCGTCGTCTCGAATATGAAGCTTCGCCTGAAAATGAAGTCAAGCTACAATAAAAGCAACACGAACGAGCACGCGTGAAGCAAGGCCGTGCCCAGGTGAGGAATATTTTGGAAAGTCACTCGAGACCTCAAGTATTACAGAGCAGTTAAGTTTAAAAAAAAAATAAACCGGATTTAGCTTTACTTTAAGTACTTGAATCACTGCAAAATTTCCAATAGGACTATGTTATATTTGTCTGTGACAACGGTTACCACTTTGGCCATTTGCAACGCTCGTCTAATCATAAAAGTATTCGAAGTAATCAAGTCAAAAACTGCCAGAACAACTAGTTCGCATTAGTCCAGGACCTTTAATCTATTTTTAATTTGATTTTGTTATTTCTATTTTGGTGGTCTCTATGCATTGTTCGTTAAGCTCCGTGTCGAAATTATTAAAGTACGCCAATATCAGTTTAAGAACTAGTTTAAGGCTAATTTTTTTTTTTAATTTATATTTTTATTTTATAATTTTTTGTGACCTTTATCTACTACTTACAAGTTAATTTATTTTTGTTACTTTTTTCGTAGATACTGTTGTGAAATATAGACCTTTTTCGATCTCACAGAAAGAATTTTTGCTTTTGTGTTTTTATAAATATTAGACAGACATCGAAATACCCAGATAAAGGAAAAATCATCCCAACCGAACGATTGGTTAGGCGGAATAATACCTCCTCCCCCCTTAAGCACATATATACAAATCTCATTTAAAGATCCGGATGTTTCGACAAGTTACCAACCGATTGACTTGAAATTTTGACAAATTGATTCTATGGTTGCTAGAAAGGCTTATACGATGTGGACCAAGGACTTACCTATTCGGAAAAATCATTTTCATTGTTGGTTTTACTTGAAACTCGATACTTCGGTGGCTCTTTACTTAGACTAATAGCAAGATTACTCTCCTCTCCGGAAAGTAGACCAGGGACTGACCTTTTCAAAAAAATCGTATTTATGGTTCGCTTTATCTGATGTTATACGTGGCTTTTTGCTTAGATTAGCAGAAGGACTATCTTTCCCACCGGGAGGGAAAAAGGAATCACCGGCATATTGACAAAAATTACCATGACTGGGATATAAAGACAGATTGTGCGTAGATATTTTCGTGTTACAAGGACTTCTTATACATTCGACTTGAGTGTGAAAAGGCGTCGAACCGAATTGTGCATTTCATAGCATTCATATTGAACTTTTCATGAAAATTTTGACCAGCGAAAAAGTGGCCCACATATATTAGATTAGAACAAACATTAAAGTACTCCTAATTATCCAAAGCTAGTATTTATTCAAAATTATGTTATATCCAGGTGGTGGCCACAGTAACAGAAGTGATCTGATTAAAGAAAATGAATTTACAAAAAAAAAAAAAATTTAATTGAGTTCGCTCAGAAATATGAAATTCTTGGAATATATTTTTGACATGAAATAAAAGCCGAAATTTGAAAAATTTGAAAAATGAAATTTTATGATGTTTTATAAGTATACGTAATCTCTTCTCATTACCTATATTGTGACAGAATTTACTTATAAAATATTTATTTTCATGTAATATCACACATGTCAATTTTGAAAAGAGAATCTAATAGTTAAATTGCTTCTGCCGAATACAGTACTCTATATACTCGTACACTTACATACGTATGTACAAGTATGTATAAATATCATAACAAACTGCACTAAAAACTCAAGTGCTTGCTTGGGTGACAAGATTTTTCCGCACCACTACATACGCATGTGTGAACAGAGATTTAAATGTTATCTGGTCTATTTCTTTCTTTTGACCTATTCCAAAATGAACAGCAGTCAACATTTGGTATGCCAAATTTTTCACAGCTACCTTCCTTCCTATACGAATACTCCAACGCACATGAGCAAACATTTTTACTTTATTATTTTTAGTCAACACATCAAAAATTTAAATATGCACCCTCAAATATCCTACCAACTAAAGTGAATGTGAAACAGGTACAATGCAGATCGTGCGGAGCAGTGGAAGTTGTGACGCAAAAAATTTATATGAAGAAGCCCATCGGAAGGCTACAATAGTTGACGAAAGCATTTTTCACTTTCTACATTAAATTGTAAAACTTTTATTTAACACTCATCTGTTCCTTCTATAGTTTTTCTTGCTCTGTTTTGCGTTTATGCGCACAAAAAGCACAACGGTATACACCGCAAATCTACACACAAAGCACGCTTAAGGCATTCCAGTACGGAAAAAATTTATATTTAAATATATACTTATATGGAAACTGCTTACACTTGCATGTGTGAGAAATCCCTCTACGTTCCTTTAAAAATAATTTAAATTCATTTACGAGCAAGAGCTAAGCCTCTTAGAAGAATATTTATAAAAGACACACAAACAGGGTGAAGACGAAGGAGCGAATGATGGGGAAGAGGTTTCTAAGTACAGAGTTGTATAGCTGCTTCCAAATCATTGAAGTGTATTTATATGTGTCATGTGTAATGCTTGTGTTGTGGAAAAATCGCTCAAAAGGCAAACTATTCAGGTATGAAAATTATCAAAAAAAAAAAGTAGTCTCAAAACATAAACTGATAAAAATTTATGTGTTTGCATACGAACGGATGCGCGTTCTAAAGCTTGTCTCTTATAAATACGTGTAAATAAATTTGCATAGATAACTTGAGCACAAAAAATCAGCAGTAGGAAGAAGCTGGCAGCAATAATAGTTTATATGACAGATGTACTTATGTAGCAGGTACGCTTATGTGACAGTTAAGGTATGTGTATTCAAGCAACTCTTTTCTTCCACTATTTAATTTATTATAGCTTGTTTGCTATGAGCTTGCACTTACCTGTGTTGCTTATGAAAAATAACTCCTGTCACTAATTCATTATATATTCTGAAATATCTTATAGCCGTACTTTTATGAAACTCTTTCCTTGTGACCCTGGTTACAGAATTCAGAATTATTTGGAATGTGCATGATGCTACAAGTTCAGAGAACCAAAATTTTAAATTTACGTATGAATCTAAAAATAATTTACTAGGAAAAGTATTGAAGATATGCATTCCTCTCATTCCATCGCAATAATTAAAATTAAAAAAAACCCATTTATTTAAATTTTGAGCTCTCAAAAATTATTATTTTTTTAATTTAGTCTTCATGGAGTAAAATGCAAAAATATTTACTGTACAAAGTGTAGCAAAAGAAAAGGCACATCAAGCCGAACCACGCCAATATTAAAGGGAATTTTCATACTTGCGTTTATAGATGGTTACACTGAATACTAGATGTATGTTTATACGCTGTAACAATAACTATACAATAAAATCTGAATTTTGCACCTTTCTACGCTTCCTTTCGCTTGTTGTACTTGTTTTGAGCCAACAATACTAACTAAAAGCAACGGCGATAAAATACGCTTCAAAACACTTGCCTTCTTTGCATTCTTGTGTGCTAAAACTCACAAGATGTTCTACTTATCAGCTGAACAGTTGATCGTTTTGTTGTTGTTCTCCTATCAGTGTCTTCAATACAATAGTAACAATAGTCACAGAGTTGTAATGTTCAAAGCAACAGTAGAGCATAGAACAAGGGAAATTCTAGATAGCTATTATTTGGAAGACAAAGCGGTCCTGGGAGTATATATATATATATATGAATATTTCGATGTAACTGTGAGTGCTTGTTCCTGCAAAAAGCTCTATAGCTAAGTTCGATAAATCCCTTTTTTTTAATAAATTTCATATCTTCTTCTGCCATGATTTTTCACTTATATTCCTCATGCACTGCCAGCAGCGGCCAACCTAAGAACTTATGCATACATTGGCTGTCAAACTGTCCCTTTCTTTTCCTTCTTGCCGATAAGAACAATGGCAGTTTATTGTATTCTATTCTTTTCTCTAAACATATATACAGAAATGGATGTGTGAGTGCAGTTTCGATATGTTACATTTCCATACCTCTTTCCTTTCAAACTATGTACGTCCTTATATCATATATACAATTATGTGCATATTTTTACACATCGCTTTTCTTTTTTCATTTCCAGGTATTATCAAAGGAGACGAAATAATGGTGATCAACGCTGCAATTGTGTCTGACTTGGATATGATGTACTTGGAGAGCGTACTGCAAGAGGAGCAATCACTATGCATGATGATGCGGTAAGTCTGAGTTTGATACACAAACATACAAGAGCGCATATTTATGTGTGTATATAAATATATAGTATATCATGTGCAAAGCTAGTTTTCACACACAAGTACTATTGTATAAAAGAACAATGTTTTCGATGTCAGACGACAAGGCAGTACACTTATCCTTTGTTATCCTTGTTGAGGTGAAATTTATTCACAACTCTTCTAGTACACTCGTAATATTCCTGTTATTCGAAGAAAACATGTGTTCAATAATTCAGATAGAAATATTAATTTTTAGCCTACGGATTTTCATAAATTTTATACACATAACGAATAATCAAGCCTGATACCATTCGTACTAGGGCTCCGCAGATACCCTTAAAAAATTTTTTCCTTGTGGAGGACCAAACCCAATCCATCTCAGGAGAATATAAAGGTAAATTACCATAATTACGGATTGGCAGATAACTTCTTTAATAACAACTTCTTACAATAATAATTTATGTGCATATGTATGTGATTTGTTATCATATTGGTTTTAATACGGAAAGGCATGATGCACAGAGAGGCCATCGATTGTCAGAAGCCATTGAGAACTAACTGAATGTAAAAATGGAAATTTTTGATTTTACTTATTACTGAATGATTGGGAATCAAAAAAATAAAATGTTGTGCCCAATATGTCAATATATCAATATCAACAAAAATAATACATTTTTTGTAAGTAAAAAGAAAAACCTAATTATTATATACACACGCACATAATCGGCTGTGCGATGTGTGGCCAAACTTCTCATCCGGCTTACAGGCCTATTCTGACTGATACCGGTAAAGTAAATTTTGTTATTTTTTTAACAACCGAATTTGTATTTGGTATTCTAGCGAACTGGTTACAAAGTTTGAAAACACTTTGGTAACAGCTTTTTTTCATCCTTGTCAAATTACATTTGCCAGTTGGTAAAGCAAGTAAAAAAAATAAATATTCACAACGAAAAGGGTGCGCCCACACTACAAGCCACTCGATTACATTGGCCGCCAAATAAACTGGTCAAATTGGTACTCCGAACACAGCGATAAACACAACTGACATATAAAGCAACAAAAAAAAAATAATAAATAAATGTAAAAGTGAGACAAATCTTGCAATTCAATTGAAACACCAATTTTCCACATGCCAGCTGCTGAAGAAGTTTTGCACAAATGGATTTCTAAGACCATTACTCATTCACTTTATGAAGAGGTTTTCCGTTCATAGTTTTGCTTCAGTACATACATATATTTGTATGTTATTGATTCTGATTGGGATCACTTGTTTTTGGATTCCAGATATTTAAAGGAAAATCATGCAATACACAAATGCAAACGCAACAACAGTAGCAGAGACAAAAAACGATTATAGTGCTAGTAATGCAAGGAAAGGAAGTTTATTTCTATATGTGCATATATACATACATACATATTTGTACATCGGCTTACATTCGTATTTACATTTAAATATACATGTATATCCTGAGTTTCTCCTTCAGCCAGTTCCAGCATAAATCTCACATGCATACAATAAGATAAGAAAATGAAGTGACATTCGCTTATAATATCCGAACCTCATCAATTTCGAGGATTTTGAACAATAACAACAGCGACTATACAACTATAAAATATAATAACATTTCAAAAAGGAAATTATTTTCGAAATATATGTAGTATATATCAAATAAAGTATTCAATTGATTTTTGGGTGGAGAAACCTGGGACTTGGTTTCGAATTGTCACTTGAGCAACGTTCAAAGCACAAGTACTTCCGAAGAGAATTGCATGAGAAAATGCTAGCTCACACTGCTTTTGACTGAAAAAGGGAGATTGCTATTTTTCTCAAGAGTTAAAAACATTAAATCTGGGTTTCTTTTGCAAACGCGTTCCCTCTTCAACATTTTCATATAATTTATCAAATAACATCTCCACATAACTGTGTGAATGTTGAGCAATTTCGGGTAAATATCCAACCACTTGTGGAAATATTTGCAACAAATCACTAAGGACTTTCTCAGCCATAACTCATGTGACGATTTACTTTATTTTACTTTATTACACAAACACACACATATACTTGTACGCACAACACTCATAAGTCTTTCAATTAATGTTGTTGTTCAGCTCTTTTATTGCTCCCAAGTGACTGAACTATGTAGTTGGGTTCTATACACTTGCATATACTTACACATTTGTATCCATATGTGAGTGCGTGTGTGTACAACTCATAAAGTTCATAACAATTGTGCATAAAATTTCTTAAGTGGCTCTCATAAGAGTTCAAATCACTTGCGAATTACATATATGCCGCAAATACCAATCTTACATACCTTCCGTCCATAGCAACCTATCTTATGAGAGCGCCATGTAAATGAAAAGTTGTCACCCAACCTGTCCTGCCCATGCCGCTACTGATAGTTGTCCCGCAGTCGGGTGTTATGGTTGTGCTGTATGTAAGATAGGTAATTACAACATTACTCGTATCGCATAAAGATAACATAATCGGGTGTGGATAATTACAAATTTATAACAATATTCACTTTTGCTACAATTTGGTATCGGATAATTTAGTTAGTTAGACGTTCAGATAATAAAAAAAGATACAAACAACATATAAAAAATCGTTGTAGTCAATATTAAAGTAATTTATATGCCTGTTGCATCACAAAGTAATTACATATGTAAATATCAAATAAAAAATACTGGTTTGAGTTCAAAATTTTAAAAGTTTATAACAAAAATACTATAATATAATATTCCCTTTTCTGCTCTTTTTGTTATGCAATCTTTTTTATACAAGCTCATAAAATTTCTCGAGTCTCTTCAACTCATACCTCGTTTTCAATATTTTGTACCGTTACCAAACATCAATTTTCAACTCATAACTGTATAACTATTTTCTACATCGTTATAATCGCAAAACATTTTTAATTTTATGCCACAAATCCATACCGTGAATGCAATAAACATGATTGTAATTATCAGCGGCAGTCAGTGTCAAAAACAGCCGACTGGAGCTGAGGTGCATATGAAAAACCACAAAACGTACCACTTTCCAAACAAAATTTCACAATAATAACCAAAGGAGGTGCGAACACACATACAAACCGAGGTGATGTCAAATGCACAAATGCTTCCATTCACACGATTGCGTGTAGATATATTTCATTCCATTGGAAAATTAAGTGTTGAATATTGCAAAGTGTGGTTTTTACATAGAGCGACGTCCGCAGTGGCGGTGGACCGTAGCCATAATGATTTGATTATGCCTTCGTCGAAATCCCTCGCGTACCATTACGTCATAGCCACGTGAAATATATCGAATTTCAAAAGCAGTGTTAGCGCGAGCAATTAGCTGTGGCCTCGATATTGACGTTTTCGGAAATTTTTGCCAAAAAAAATTTTGCATTCAATATTACACAATACAATTACTAATTCAATGTTGCTCGACAACTTTCGATAACTATAACAAATTGCACTGCCTCATTTCTCTCTGGAAGACTCCCGAAGCCGATTTATAAGATGTCGACATCGTGCACGCTTCTGCACCATATGGTAGAATGATGAGCGACTTGTTTGGTTTTTGTTCGTCGAGAGAACCATTTTCTTTTCAATTTCCTACTCAAGCCAAAGTAGTACTTGTTGACGAGAGTGATTATGCGTTGAATTTCAAGGCTGGCATTATTGTTAGTGTTAATTCTGGTCCCTAGATAGTCGAAATTATCTACGACCTCGAGTTTATGGCTTTAAACAGTGACGTGGGAGACAAGTTGACAGAAGATATTTCGTCTTATCCTCGTTCGGTTCGTTTCTTTATCATGTCTGACAGTCGGAAATGCAGTCGAGCTTGAAATCTTTCCAAACTGTATAAATAAGTGTTGCCATAGAAAAGTACAGTTTTAAGACGGCTCGAAGCAGTCACTTACTCACACTATAGTCTCGCATGGTGCTAAAATAAACGTTCCCGTCCTTGCGAAGGCATGAAGCGAGATCTCATCGAGTAAAATATTCCATAAATTATGTCCAAAACTTCAAAATAAATATTATTTGTATGAACCTATACTTGCTGTGTTTATACTCGTCTTAAAACTCATTGAAACAAGCTCCTACTCAGACCAATAAAATATTCATAAATTCTAAGGTCAAGGATGTGCAATCGCACTCATGTCCGCGTAAACTTGCAACACAAATTTGTTGAAAAAATCACACTTTTTCCATAGTAAATTAGTTTGCCGCAAACTTTAACCCGCAGTTACTTTGCCCACGTACACACACATTTTACGATTTTAATAGCATGGCTTTCACTCTTTTTAATGTTTTGCATTATTTTTTCTACCCTTGCAATTTTTAGCTCATCGCGCACTGAGCCCCCAGATCTAGTTGGCATTATGCGCGTCACTGATGACATGATTGATTCATTGGTTTGTCCACCACCACCATCGGATCCACCCATAATGAGCGAGGAGATGATATCCGGTTTAATCGTACCAGCGCCAGGTTGGAGTAAGTACAAGCATATTTACATAAATATATTAATAAATAAGTTTGTATAAAAAAGTATGTACGTACATATTTATATATACATATATATATATATGTATATACGAATGCTCTTTCACAAACACGTATGCATACAAGCAGCGTAAGTATATATGTAAATACACACCCATACCTTATGCGTAAGCCAGACTGTGTGTGGAGCTTATTCGCTCTTCCTGCTTGCATAAATAGATTAAAAATATGTCAACTGTCAAAGTGCAATGAGTTGCAATAAAATGACGTACAATTAAATACAAACACACTCGCAAACTTACGCATACAAATGCACGGCAATATTCATGCGCAGCAGTCAATTCGGTTAGAAGCTCAACCAACCGACACACAAACACCACCACCGGAACAGCCTTGTGCGTTTTTTGCTGATATTCGTGGGGAGCGAAGGGACTGATGTAAGTTTGGCGTTATGCTCCTTGATTGTGTTAAGTCCAGCAGTAATTCGCTGAAATCGCGAAAATGTATTCATTAAAATTTCAGCTAACGGCCATGGTTAAATGGAATTTACAATAGTGCATAATACATATATGCGCATGTACACTCAACGCACTTTGATTACTCAAGAATCAATATTTGAATATTGAATAGAGTTGGGAGCATAAAATAAAAATGAAATTTGTAATTCAATTTTTACATTAATTTACACATTTCAATAAAAAAAGACCGATATAAATTCTATTCAGATGAATGCAATACTAACCAATATATGTATGTGGTAGCCAAAACAAGCAAACACCGCAACGGTGACAATTTTTAATAAAAAATAAGTATTAAAAGTTATATTTTATTTTTTTTTTGTATGACTCTTTGTAGTTTTTAACATATATCAACACTTCTATACCTATTGATTTTACGCGATTTTAGCCGATTTAACAACATTGCACCATTCGTTTCTTCTTTTTTTTGTTTGGCGCCAATTGCAAATACAAAGTACAGCCAGGTCCTTCTCTATCTGGTCATTCCAACGGAGAGGAGGTCTTCCTCTTCCTCTTTTTCCACCGGCGGGTACTGCATCGAAAACTTATAAAGCTGGAGTACTCGCATTCATCCCGGACACGCGACCTATCGCCGTATAACTCGTACAGCTCATTGTTCCATCGTCCGCGATATTCGCCATTATCAAAGCGCAAAAGTCCGTAAAACTTTCCCAAAACCTTTCTCTCGCAAACTCCTAACGTCGACTCATCACATGTTGTCATCGGTAATGTTTGGTTTTCGTTCGTCGGGAGATAAAGTTCTCTCAATTGCCTACTCAGTCCAAAGTAGCACCAGTTGGCAAGAGTGACGTTATTAGTCCTGTTAATATTGGTTTCTAGATAGACGAAATTATCTACGACTTCGAAGTTATGACTGTCAACAGTGACGTGGGAGCCAAGTCGCGAAAGCGATGACTGTTTATTTGATGACAGGAGATATTTTGTCTTGTCCTCGTTCACTAACAGACCCATTCGCTTCGCGTATTTATCAAGTCTGAAGAGGGCAGAACTAACGGCGCGGTTGTTGAGGCCGATAATGTCAATATCATCGGTGTACGACAGTAGTTGTGCACTCTTATAGAAGATTGTACCTTCTATATTCAGCTCTGCAGCTCTTACTATTCTCTCCAGCATCAAATTGAAAAAATCACACGACAAAGAGTCACCCTGTCTGAAACCTCGTTTGGTACCGCACGGTTCTGAGAGGTCCTTCCCAATTCTGATGGTGCTTCTAGTGTTGTCTAGCGTCAAATTACACAGCCGTATAAGTTATGCGGGGATACCAAATTCAGGCATGAAGGCAACTCCTATTCGTGCTGTCGAAGACGGCTTTATAATCGACGAAGAGGTGGTGGGTGTCGATCCTCTCTTCACAGGTCTTTTCCCAGATTTGGCGCATGATATATATCTGGTTAATGGTTGACTAACCAAGTCTGAAGCCACACTGATAAGGCGCAATCAATTTGTTGACGGTGGGCTTCAGTCTTTCATACAAAACGGTCGGCAGGACCTTATGGGCGATATTAAGGAGGCTAATTGGCGCAGACTGTGGGGTCCCCTTTTTTTATGGATTGGGCAGAGCACACTTAAATTGCAATCATCGGGCATGCTTTCGTCCGACTATATTTTGCAAAGTAGCTGATGCATGTATTTGAATAGTTTGTCCGGTAACGGAACAACTTTTCCATCGTCGTCGATTGGAATTTCGGGTTCACCATTTCCGGGTGTTTCATTTTGACTGCCATTGAGCAGGCTGGAGAAGTGTTTCCTCCATAAAAATGATATACTCTGGGCATCGGTGGCTAGATCAACTCTTTGTATCCTACAAGAGTCTGCTCCGATCTTGAAACCTTCCGTAAGTCGTTGTATCTCCTCATTGAATTTTCAAGCATTACCCTTTTCGGCCAGCTTCTCAAGGTCTTCATACTCACGCATCTCGGCTCTTTCTTTTTGCCTGCAGATGCGTCTTGCTTCCTTCTTCATCTCTTGGTATCTATCCCAACCCGCAAATGTTGTGGTCAATTGCAAGGTTGCGAGCTAGGCAGTCTGTTTTCTTTCCACTGCAACACGGCAGTCCTCATCGTACCAGCTATTTCTGCGACCTTTACGAGATCCAGTAGTTTTCTTTTGCAGCTGTACGTAGGGAGTTTGAAATGCTGTCCAGCGTATATTCTCGGAATGTACGCACGTCAAGAACACTGGAGACATGTCTTCCGTCTATCACAACATGATCGATATAGTTTTGTGTGTTTCGATCAGGAGACAGCCAAGTATTATAGCTTGATGTATTCTTTTGTGCTGGACAGCCAAGTACTGTAGCTTGATGTATTCTTTTGTGCTGGAATCTAGTACTACAGACAACCATATTTCGGGCCCCGGCGAAGTCGATCAGCCTCAGCCCATTAGGGGATGTTTCATTGTGAAGGCTAAATTTTCCAACAGTCGCACCAAAGATACCTTCTTTGCCCGCCCACCCTGGCATTAAAATCGCCATGTACGATTTTGACATCGTGTCGGCGACGTAGTACATCTACTTACATATATATATATATATATGTATAATTGCATATCAATGTGTGTTACACATTCCCCAATCAACAGTTCAAGTGCAAGAACGAAGTACATACATCTTCGTCACATCCCCAGGACTCTCTAATCAAATAACTCATAATTTTTTAGTCTATAAATGTTCAGGAACGTACGTGTATTTCTTAATAAACTCTGCAGATAGATGGCATCTTAAGACGGTTATTACCAATTTACGCACTGAAGATGCAGAAACTTTTGTAGGAGGCAAAAATTGTGAAATGTTGCCAATTCCTTATATTTCCATATTATTTTTACTTTTGTATTTCTAATAAAAACCAGATCAAAATTTTGATTTTTATTCTTATAATAAAACTAAGATCATGTTTTCAGTTTTTAGTTAATAAAAAAATTAGCGCACGTAATAGTTGTTGGTTAATAATGAATTGAATAATACTACAACAGATTACATGGCTGATGTTGGCGCAGTAGAAGACCACTCGCCTGTTAAGTCAGTATCCGTTGGTTCGATCCCTACCATAAGAAGTCTGATGAAGAGATGTGGAGATCTCCGAAACAGCTGTCACTTCTGCCCTCTTGCTTTGTTGTTTAACAAAATATTCAATTCATACAAAGAAACCAGGCCTCTAGTTCAATTAATACTTATAACAAAAATTAATATAGTATGACCTCAAAAATAATTAATTTTATTTTTATATATTAAATATAAAAAACTAAAAATTAAAAAAAAAATTAAAAAAAAATTTTGCTATTTTTGAATTCACCAAATATATATAATATATATTTTCCCAATTTTCTCCGGGCTCTTATGGACTGAGATTTTTTCTCAGACGCAAATTGCTATTTTACGGTTTATGAGAAAAAGTGAAATAGATATTCGCGAAAGAATGTATTGCCTATATTTTACCCAACCAGCTCAAGTTGCTCATACGCCGTGTACTCCTGAATCGTGATGCAACTTCAGATTACGCGCTCTGTTTCAACAATCAGACCAGCCGAGTTATTGAAATCCAAGGATGCTTTAGCTAAATATCACTTGCGTTTTGAGACACCACGAAGTGGTGGAAGATTCATATAGTAAGATGAAAATGTGAAATTACTAGCTTTGGTGGAAAAGACCGGCCAAATTACTTCAGATGTTCACTTTTATTTTCTATTTTATTTTGCATTGTGTTTTATGATAATTTTACACTTGCGATGTCGTGCTATTTTAATTTTTTAATGACGGAACAATAGAAACAATCAAAATGCCTCTACAGCAATATCACTTAAAATGGACTGCACAATTTTGAATCACGTTCACTGTGTAATTTATTATTCAAGTGCGAGTATTATAATTTAATGTATAAAATAGAAAATACATATACCCAGCCGCAAATTAAAATATATATAAGGCTGTACGATTTTTGAGTAGCCGCAATTTTGACTTTTTTTATTGACTTTGCTCGACAAGCAAGATCAAAAAAGTGACCCAAAAGCCATTTAAACGTATAAGCTAAGGAATTCAATCTTACTGCAAAATATTCTTCATAAAATATCGTTACGAGTCACGGAATTTTCATTATCAGCTTAAAGTGTTTTACATTTCCATTATCTTTATATATTGTCCTTTAACTTCATTTGTATTTACTTCCCAATTTTATCTTTTTCCCTATTTAGTGTTTGGCAAAACCTCTCTAGAACAGCAGCTCATATGTAGCAATCATCGCTTAAATACCGTAATTAGTTTTGGCTAGTGTATAATGTCATATATCCAAACACTCATTCATATATAAAATTCACCTGAAGCAATATAATTCAATTAAAAGTAAAATATGTGTTGAATCTGACGCCTGCTCCACAATACGAATAGCTCTGCTCGTAGTCAACGATTTTTACGTTTGCGATGACTGGCCCCTCTTGCCCTTTTCCCTATTGTTATTTTTCATCTATATTTTTTGCGGCTTCTTACGCCTCTTTAAATATATCTTGGCAGATATAGAGTGCACTATATTACGGTCCTCGAGGTGTTGATCTCACCCAAAGCAGTTTATATTTAAGTGATTTTTAGTAGAGCATACCGCTTTTTCATGCGTTTGGGTGCCCTGCATTTAGTTGCATGTTAGTTGGCGCTTATGCTGCTTATACACTAACGGAAAATATTCGTTAACGATAATGTTTCATACCTGACACAACGAACTCAAGAATACATTGGTGTACAGTTGTTTGTTAGTTAAATTCTACAGCTGGCGTGCTTGTATATTCGTATGCATATATCTCAGCAAGCTTTTGGGCAAAACTTCACATATGTTTGTAACGCACGCATATGCATTCCTGATTAAATATGTATGTTTGTTCGGTATCTTGGAATTTGTTGCATTCTCACTTGCGAATAAAGAAGTAAGTGTTCATTTCTCTTACAGTTATTTTAAAATTTAAATTCTGTGGTGCCTTAGCTCTTCAGCGTGAATTGTTTTTATTTCTTTCGGAAGTGCAAGCTTATTGTAATTAGAATAAAAAATTTAGAAGAGTTTACAAAATCTGGTCTTAAAAATGTAGCAAGTAAATCTGTCTCGTGGATCAGCTGTCAAGGAATAGTTAAATTTTTCATTCAATATTTGAGCTCCAGCAGGACGGACATTATACTTGCTATATGGATGAACCTACCTAATTACTGTCGTTGTTGCACGGAATGCTTTGCCCATTTATTTGCGTTGGTTTAGTGAAGTTTTGTAAGTTAACATTAGTTTTATTAAGAAGCGATTTCACTAGCAAAGTGATATATGTATAAGAGCCATCCACGACGATGTTATTAAGCTTGGCTATAACTAAAGACAAGCAAACCATATTGAACTTGTACGCGACTCAATGCAAATCTTTAAGTATGTACATATGTGTATGTGTATTCAAACAACTAAAATATATATATATATATTATATATCAGTGTATTTTACTATTTTTCTTTTTGGTAACACATATTTTCCTCCACAGATGGCACCGGTAAGGATTTATATTCACCTGAGGCAGAAAGCTCACCGGCACCATCCTCCGTTGAACAGACACCAGCACAAATGGTCGCAGCCGCCACCAAGCCGACTTCACGTACGAGCAGTTTTGAAATTGAGAACCTTCTCAAGACCGCAGAGCAGGTACGTGAAAGAGGCTAACGAACGATCTCATGATAGCTCATCAAACTCATTCAAACACCTACATACGTACACCCTGACATATGTTCATTCGTGCATTCCTTTGTATAATGCGTTTGTATTTGTATATAAGTTAAGTGAACGTGTGACCAAAATGCAAGGCGGGCAAAGCAAGCACACACAAGCCCACAACTAAAGTCAAATGAGCTTTCAGCTGCATTTATTGTTGTTATTGAAGTGAGCAGGAAAGTTGCACGTAAAACTTACGAGTTTAAAAGTAGAAAATGGCAAAAAGATATGTCGAAAAAACAAAATTAATCTTCGACTTACTCGACAACTTATCACATCCACCAACATTTAATGTGCAGGTGTTCGTGTATGTTTGCTTGCTTCGACTTGAGTTTTTATTAATATTTATTAAACTGTGAACTATGAGTTATTTTGAGAGTGTCGATTTCCTAAACCTGGATACATCGTATGTATTATTGTATGACGATAATTTTATGTGTTTCAAAATTATACCAAAATTCGTAAACACAAAAACAAAACATTTCACTTCTTAATGTGACTTCTTTTGTTTCATGGTATAAGTTTTAGCGAAAATACTTATCTATATATTTTTGTCATTCAGTTTATACAGCATGTTGTCATGTTTTTCACGCTTTTTTCGTTTTGAAAAATCAATTCAATGCACCTTTTTGAATAACTGACTTATATTAGTTTATCTGCATTTTGTGTTAATCAACCCAGCGACCTGCACAACATGCCTGTTTAATACTCACACACCATAACGGTCACGAATTTTTTTCTCGTCATGAAATCATTAAGCATAAACTATACATTTTAACGGTATTGTGCTGACAAAAAAATTATATATACAAAAGTATAATGTGTACTTCAAAATGGTTTTCTTTTTTCATTTCTGACTCTAAAATAATAAAAACTGTACGTTCACTTCTTTAAACATTTTATTAGATTTCCATAAAAGTGATCTTTTTGAAACAAGCCTATGCTTCAGATACAAATTGCAATTTTCGAAATAATAATTAGTTACCTGAGATTATATTTCAGTTTGCGCCTCCGCTTGATGCGATTTTTTTGTTGACATTAGATGAGGATGCATACTGAGTTATCTGAAAAATCAGTTGTGTAAAGGTATACCATTGTAGTTTTCTTATTCACTCCTTACCTTTCACTCACCATTAATATAAAAAACCCGCATTTACTATCATTGAAAGCCAAATGTAATGCATTTTAACATTTTATAGAGTTTTCCTTCTTTACAAACTCGCTTGATCATTTTTTAACAAAAACCTGTGAATATAAAGCTAATCGCAAAGGCTACATAAGTGCATATGTTGTTCGCGCTCCATATCACACAAGGAAGGGCATTTGGGGTTCTCATTTTAAACTCAAGCACTCATTGTACGCGATGAACAAAATGCATCTTAGCATCAAGCACTTTTTAGAACGTAGCGATTTCACCTTCCCCTACTCCTCTTCTGCATAGACTCCTAAGAAAAAATACTGTCGCAAATCTATTCAAAGCCATAATGAAATAATAACAAGAATAGCATGGCGGCGTTGCCAACCATTTCCAGAGGACAGCGAGCCAGTAAGCGGCAGCGGGTAAAATAAATTTACAAAAGTGGCACTAAATTTACCACAACGTCAACGAAATGTCAAAAGGCTATACAAACAAAGCGGGCGAGCACACGTAGTCGCACACGTACATAACATGGTGCAAACTCAACGCAGTAGTTGAAGCCACGCAATGCAAGCAAGTTAAGCTTTACAAATTTTCTGTGTGCTGCTACGCTCACAAGGACCTCGTGCACCTCAAGGACCTTTTGCTGTGCCACGTTTCCACTATTGCACAATTTAAATTTGGCTCGCTCACTCACTCACTCACTTATAGTGTGCTCGAGCATCAATCCTTTAAAATAGAATCAAGGATAAAAGCCAGCGCTTCAGCTGCGGCGACATAAGCCCGGTTGGTACTGGGAACAACAACAATATGGCGGAGAAAAAGTGCAGAATATAAGAAATACGGAAAGAACGTAATATGAAATACAAAACGTGAAAGGTGAACAAATGAATATCTTGCTTCGACGAGTGGCATGAGTTTTTTCGAGGGCTGGCGTGAGTGCAGGTGATCTCAGGCTGAGCTGAGCTGAATTGGCAACAAAGGAAGCTACCAATTGCTCTTTGTTATGCTGAATAGTTAAATGAAACCTTCCCGAAATTGTTTTCAACAAAAAATCGCCGTTGTGGTTAGTTAGTTGTACACGGTGAAGAATTCTCTTTCGATGAAAGTGAAAGCAATAAATATTTTAGTTAGTAGTAAGTCGAAATGCATGTTTCTGAGATGTATTTTTCTTTTTTCCTTAAAAACAGGGTCTGAAATCCTGGCCCACTATATATCATGAATTATATCTCGGAGTACATTTCTTAAAATTTGATCACCCAGGTTACCCTTATCCCTTCAGAAGCAACTTAAAAAAATATAACTACAGTTAGACCTACATCTCGGAGATTATGACAGAAAACCTAAATTTATCTTTTACACTGTGCGGCAGATAGACCTTCGGTATCTCAAAATTGAATGACTCTGTCGGTTTTTAGCCAATTCGGACAAATGTGCGTGATTATGAAATAGTTCTGTTCCCTTTTAACCACGAATGAAAAGCAATACACACCGAAAGAACGAGCTGAAATCGTAGCGCTTTACATTGAAAACAATCGTTGTGTGCGCGGTAAAGTTTATGCCAGTAAGCCAAAGACAACCGACAAGCAAAAAGACAACAAACATGCCGAAACGCTGGCTAATATTATGCAGAACGCATGAAAAAGAGCTTTTTGCCTTTTTGCGCATCGAATGCAGGTGGTCATTTAATCGACATCGTGTTCTAAAACTCATTCGTTCCTCAATGTTGAAATACCGAAGGTCTGTATATAAGTCCACTGTCCAACACCCAAAGACCAGCACGATTGGCCCCTAGACCCTTAAACCTATATATTAGGTACCGAAAAGTTCTATCCGGATCTATGACATTATTTTCGCCACGTAAGCACATGTTTTATTATTGCATGTTCGGCTCTATACTTTTAGCGCTTAGTGTATACATACTGTCGTAGCAAATAAACTATAATAAAGTTGCTTCACATTAATCTTAAGTGTGAAACGATAGTATATCCATAGTCACTGACAAAGTTCATTTACGTCATTGTATTTTATACGAATTTCAACAAGTCCACTTTCCTTAATCACACTTTACTAAATAAGTGAACCTTGCCCTCACACACATTCATGCGAATAGATAAAAACGCTGAGTGAATGAATAAAGTTGATAAACTCGCCGCTCACTCCAGCACTTCGGCTTGTAATATATTTTTTACAATAATCGAATTTCGAATAATCTAAAATTCTTAAAAGAAAATAATGACATTCGAATTACTTGCACACACTTTAAGGTTAGGTGCATTAAAGGAAAGGGAAAGGCAAAAATATATGCCTGTGAATTCAGGTAAAGAAGCGAAAGAGTTTCAATTGTTGGATATATGTACCACACATTCTATGATTAGACGAGTTCGTAAAAGAATCTAAATATCCTCTAACATTAGCGTAAAAGGACTCGATTCTTCATGAATCGACTTATGGCATGAATCGAATGCCGTCCGACAGATTTTTCAATATTTTTCACTAAATATTGTGGCCTACAATTATAATAGCCGTCTATCAAAAAAGACACGAAAGAAAGCATGTTTTTTTTTTCTTCTCTCATGCAAATTACATATGCAAAATTCGAATAAAAATTGACAGTGTGAAAATCGAGACAGGAACACCGTAGAAGCAGGGGAAACTTGTGAGTCGCCTGTGAAGGTGAAAATAATGCGAGCAGGAGCTTATGCAAATGACCGCCGTCAAAGCAACAAAGCACAAATTATTTACATAATGAAAAAGCGTAAAAGGAAGAATCCAAGAAGCAGTGCAGCGCAAACAAGTGTCGCGGTGAAACAGCATATTCTTTTTTGTAGGTATGCATGCGCCATAATGAATGCATTGCATCTCACTCGAGTAGGAAATTGTGCGAGCTCACATAAATGTTGGCTGACAAAAACCAGGTCCCGCTCACTTTTGTTTCCAGTATGCCAAAATCAACGACGGATGTTGCGGTAAACGCGAAGAAACGAGAACACAGTAATACATACATACGAGAACACAGTAATACATACATAAATTTGCACAAATGCGCATAAGTAGAAGAAGGTGGCTTCTTGTTAAGTGGCAGCTATGTAATGTGGTGTTGCAGCAACGTTAACAACAACGACATCAACACAAACCGCCGTCATGACTAGCAACAACAACAGGGCTCAACAGAATCAGTGACAAAACCTACAGCACTACTACGAGCATAAATGTGTAGTAAACCCCAAACGTCAAGCTGTCGACCTGTCTTGAGCTGCAGTCTCTGTCGTGTCGTATCGTGTCGTGTCGTGTTGTGTCGTGTATATTTTTTTGCTTCTAACCCATAAGCCTTCTACTTGGTGGCGTCAGCCATCAACTGTCAGTGTCAAGTGCACTACTTCTTCCACTTAGGCTCTTTTTATTGTTGCAGCTATTGCAGTCTCTTCTTACCGCAAAAATGCGTATTAAACACCTTCTTTACTATCTCTCCCTCTTCCTGTCTCTTCCGCACCCAAGCTTATATACAACCTAACATTCGATTGTCACCTTCATTGGAGAGCGTACAACATAAACAGCAACAACAACAAGACCCAACAAACCAAAACTGAATTGGAAATGGCATTGCCCAAAAGCATTTTAATGTCAACCAAGGTGGCAAGCTAAAGTTGTTGTTCAAAGCAGCGGTACTTTCATCTATAAATAACGAATTATAATTACAATTGAATGTTAAGTAAGACTAATTAATCTTGAAAATATTAATGAAATTTTCAGTGTTGATACTTTCCACCCAACCAACTTGAAAAAATCACAGCATATGCATTCGATAGAATGGTATAAGGTTGAAATCCAAGGACTTATAGGTCACTTGTTAGGTGAGAAATCTACTCAATATCTCACAAGTGCGAAGTATATAAATAAATATAAATGGCTGCGAATTTTTAGAAGAAATATATTATTTTACCTTAACATGCATCTTGTGTATTGTATACGAAAGTATTGGATATTACATTTATTTTCCTTACACGAGGTGTGTTCAAAAAATAACGAGGTCTTGGATAATCTGATTGTCAAACATTTTAAACCTTTCGTGCACATGAAATGATATATTAACTTTGGTCCGAAGTATGTAAATACCAGAATGACGTGCTGATTTGATTTAGCTATGTCCGTCAGTCCATCTACTTGTAGGCAAACTGGTCTCTCAGTTTGCAGATATTTCAACCAAGCCTGATTTATAGATACACCGGTACATTCGAACGATCATTTGTCGTACCCGGCCAGATCAGACCGCTATGACATGCATATGCGACCCATTTTTCAGATTTGATATTTTGGGTAAAAAATCCATCAAAAAATCATTATATATATTTAGATAAATGGCGCTTTGAGACCGCTGAAGCGATTTTCAGCCGAGCTCTTCCTTCAATTTGTGGTTTTGCGTCTGAATGTTTTCCCAACAAATGGAGGGACCTATAGTTTATATTAAGCCGCCTCCGAACGGCTGATGGTTTTTTCTATGAGAAGCCTTTATTTCATGTCATGTATAACCACGGAGGGGTCGACATTCCCTGCCGAGGGGCGGCCGCAATTAAAAAATGCAACTTAATTTTTTATTTACGCAATGCTAACCACTAATCACTCGGCTACCGCGGCCGCAAAAAAGCATTAAGGACGTGTAATTTGGCATTCTTCACACAATTTTAAATAAGTATTTCTGTTGAAAATTGACGAAACCGAATTTGGTCGTTGACGTTTTCTTTGTCATTGACTTTGTATGTGGTTACATTGGGTTTTATGAGCTCGGCGTTTTCCAACGATACCAGAATAGACGAATAATAAATAAATATTCTGTTCAAAAAAATAGAATTAACGCTTTTTAAACACATCTTGTACATACATACATTCACACGTAAGAATTATAAATCGATATATGTACATATGTGTGTATTTATTTATTTGAAAGAGATTAGAAACATGAAATATATTTATTTGTGTTAGTAGCTGCACTGTGAACAAAATAACTACTCACATACATATAAACATATGTATATCACATTCCAGCCATTTGGCCACATTTTTTAAAATAATTCGCAATTTATTGAATTATTCGTTTCCCCTTTTCGAATCAATATTATCTTATTTGCACAAACTTTTACACCACTCACATTTTTGCTAACTTCACAAATTTCTTTCTTTTCTCATCTACTTTTTTATTCACATTTTTAATAAATTGTTTGCAAAACACCACCGTTTTATATAAATAACAACAACAAAATACAAAAATTTAATCAAATAAATAATAATTAATAAATAAAAATTAAATGCAAAAACAATGACAACACTACTACTACTCACAACCAAAACTACATATAAAAATAAAAATCGGAAAACATAATGAACTTCAAAAATACATACATTAATATAACCGATTAATTATATTGCACAAAAAAAAATATTGTCAAATTAAAAAAAAATAATTTAAAAAAAAATTAAAAAAAACCACATCAATCAACCTTCTTCCATCGTCATCATCGTTGATTATGTTTTTGTGTGTGTGTGTGTCGATGGAAACGCTTGATTGAAGGTTACCGGATTTTGTCGTTCACCTCAGGAAACACGTAAATCCAGCCCGACCGGTTCGGTCACATCTTCTGTCTCTAATGCCGCACTGACACCATCACGTCAACTCACTGATGCTGAGAAATTACGTAAGGTCATCTTGGAGTTAGTCGATACAGAACGTACCTATGTCAAGGTAAGTGTGGAGAGAGAAGAATATGAATATAATATTTTTTATTAATTTTTTACATTCGTTCAAGGACTAATTATTAAAATTATGTAATTGATTGCTTAGGCAATCAGATTCTATTTATGGGAGAACAACGATTATAATTAATCGAATTTAAAAATTCATAAATGTGAAAGTCTAATAAAACTTTTAGTTTTCAACCAACGGAATGAAAAAGCGGGACAGGCTCCCAAATCGTATGACCACAAATAACTTTAGAAAGTATTCCGATTTTGATTTATTATTGAACGGATTTAATCTGAGAAACAATTATATCCGGAATTGTGAATTTAATTTAATTTGGTTGTTTACTTACTCGTAGCTGAGCTGAGTATACGACGCTTTTTGGTAAATACTATTTTCCGATAGTATAATTTATTTGTTAAAATAAGAAATGATGAAATGAAACATCCATGACAAAATGCGATGCACCATACTCCAACTAAAATATGTGCGGAAAATCATCTTAGTTAACTACGGTCCTTCTTAAGTGGGTCAAAAATATTTATATGAAAAATAATGAGTAACAATAGTTCACAATGAATTCAAGATTGTGAATACTTACTTTATTGGCGTAGACACCGCTTACGCAATTATAGCCGAGTTAACAACATTGCACCATTAGTTTCTTCTTTTTTGCTGTTTGGCGCTATAAATAAATGTGAAAATCTGATAAAAGTTTCAATTTCCAACCAACGGAAGGAAAAGGAGGTGCAAGTTCTCAAGTCGGTCCTTCCCACGGTGTGGAGGCGTTCCTCTTTCTCGGCTTTCACCGGCGGTTACTGCATAAAAAACTTTCAGAGCTGCAGTATTCGTTTCCATCCGTACCACATGACCTAGCCGCTGCTTTTGATTTACAAAACTTTTCTCTCGAAAACTCCTAACGCCGACTCATCAGATGCTGTCATCGTCCATGCCTCCGCAAAACATAGCAGGAGGGGAACGATGAAAATCTGGTCAATGGTTGACTATCTAGGTCTAAAGCCACAGTGATTATGTGCAATCAGTTTGTTGACGAAGGGCGATAACATGCGTAGACTGTGGGATCGCTTTTTTTTATAGATTGGGCAGAACACATTTAAATTCTAGTCGTCGGGCATAGTAGTGTCCCCTCCATAAATTCAACATACTCTGGGAATCAGTGGCTAGATCCCCTTTTTGTGTCCTACAAGAGTCTGCTCCTTCCGTAAGTCGTTGTATCTTCTCATTGAACTTTCGGGCATTACCCTTTTCGTCCAGCATCTCAAGCTCTTCATACTCACGCATCTCGGTCTCTTTCTTTTTTGTCTGCAGGTGCGTCTTGCTCATCGTTCCAGCTGTTATTGCGAACTTTACAAGGTCCAGTAGTTTCGTTTGCAGCTGTTTGCGAAAATAAAAGAACAGAGCACATTTACTTTGCTTAAAACCTACCGTACGATTTTGCACATTTAAGGTGCAAATGGAATAAATAATAATTAAAAGGCAAAATAAAGATTAAATGAAAGAAATATAGGAAGCAGAAAAAGAGAAGTGAAGGCATTAAAACACAAATTTTTAAGTCAAGTTCGCAACGCACATAAAAGTAGCGCATAAACAATTCCTAAAGTACAAAATTATGACTGCAGACTCAAATAAATATCTTAGACAAGAAAGAGACAGTGAGGGGATGAGAAGTGGACCATACTTACCGAAGGCATTATTACTAAACTCGGATGTGCCAGTAATTTTTATCACCAACTTTTCACGCTACCAACACCTACTACAAACAAGATATTTCCCAAGGTGTTCGTAATTTAGCACACTGAATATTATGTAGTAGTAAATAGAAAAGAAGTAGTAGCAGCATTTTAATGAGTTTCAGCAAGTTTTGCGCCAGTTGGAATTTGCAAATACACACCACCGAAGCCAAAAGTGCAAATAACAAAAAGCAAACGACGCTAATTGTTAGAGTTGGTGGTTACGGTTACCGCTAACTTTTACCTTTCATACAAGTCACAAAAGTATGGCCCGCATGCCACTGACTTCAGCATTCTCTAACTCAAACTTTTTACTCATTCAACCGCTATTGTTTCAAAGTTTTTAAAATGCATTAGCATAGACCGTTACACATTTGGATATATTTGGATATTTAATTTTTGTACGTATAACGACGCACAGTATGTATGTTCTATACTGTTTTCTTATTTTTCAAGTGTGCAAAACTTTTCTTACGACTTCCTTCGATCCCCATACTTTTGGACAAACACGCCCTAAAGCCATTTGTCCTCTTTCTTCCGATTCAACTGCCGCTAAAGTCGTTCTCCCTCGCTTCTTTCTTGCAACTTTCGAGCTTTGTTTTTCTTCTCTTCGCTTCTTTTTAGTTAGTTCCGTGTGTTAATTAAAATATAATTAAAATATTTGTTAATTCATAATTTTACATTGCCGGGGGCATTTTCCTACAATAGGCAATTAGGTCACACATACTCGCTTTGTAATCGTATACATGCATAGATATACATACTAGACACTAGCTATAGTGTGAAATGATAGTTATGTATATCGAGTCCGGCATTTACTTGTAAATGTGGTATATAATATATAAAATATTTATTTATACAATTTTTTTTATTTACATATATTTTTTTTTCGGATTTAATTTTATTTATATTTTTATCTAATATGAGGTATTCCAAATTTACAAAAATTAATATTCATATCCTTGATGTAATCTCTTCCCATATACTTTATTTTATCTAGCACTTGAACAATCTACTGGAAAACTATTTGGAACCGATGAAACGCGAAACATTCTTATCGAATGCTGAGATAAATGCACTCTTCGGTAACATACATGAAATTGTTACATTCCAGAGGCAATTCTTGCAAAATCTCGAGGAAGCTTTGGAGTTGGAACCAGATTTTCATAAATTCGACCATTCCAGTCAGTTCCGGGTGAGTATATCACATTATGTTGTAAAATATAATATCATTGTAGTCCTATACTTTTGGAAAATAGTAAATTTTTCATTAGGTAGTCCCAATTGATCTACTAATCAACAGGTTTGTCAATCTCCTTGTATAAATGGAATATTAGTCCGAATTATTCGATCGGTTTCTCTCTTTTTTTGAAATACAATAACACTGTCTTCGCTATATTTTCGTCGTTTTAAATCGGTCGCCTGTAGGCACGCAAATTGGAGTTTTATTAGCGCAAGATTTAGAAGAATATAGGTATAGAGATTTTGTTTTGCTAAAATATAATAGGGGCTATCATATAAACAGACATTTTTCCTTCTTACAAAAATTTAAATAGGTGATGATGTAATTAGGTTTATCAGCCATTTGCTCGTTTAAAGTAATGCCGCTAATATATAAAGTAAACGCTTACTTTAGGGATAGCGTAAAACGGCTGATATTTACCGGATATGGGAATTTCTTTCATTCATTTCAGCTCAACAGCTATGGTCGTTGACTTCATTAGGGACCTCATATCGTTAATAATATTTTAGAAAGCCTCTTATTTATCAATGAAATTAATTTCCTGATATTTCGCAGATCTTTCTTCCATATTCTTCTTACGTGAATTACGAAAAAATTTGGTATGGAGGTCAAAAATATCCAAATAAATTTTTTGAGAACCTTTATTGTTTCGATAGTTATATATCAAGGCTTTTTCGGTGGTCTAAAAACTTAGCATCCTGCAATTTTTTCTGTAATGCGTTAAATGTGTAAACTCGACATGATAACACCTTAGGTCATCACAGCAACTTTTGAAAGTTAACTAGGAAAGAAAATAAAACGCACTAAGTTTTCTTCAACTTCTGGTCATTTCTTAGTGTTATTTATTTTTTTATGATATCTGCACCATTGTACAGTGAGTTGATTTCATGTTTTTTTTCATTTTTCACAATCGAACATTGGACATTTTGATCATTTCCGTTTACAATCATAAATTACTTTGCCAACTTTTGTTGGCAATTTCCCCGACAAATACAGTAAGTGCAGTAAGGCCAGACCGTCGAGCGACAAGGTTTGAATAAGTATGCATGTATAAACCATTACCAACCGACAACAATTTTTCTGATATAAGAATTTGTACATGCTAGTGCTACAGTAAACTGCATATTTACTCTTTAGATGTGCTTTTGGAAAAGTATGGTTTTCCGTTATTTCTCCTTGGAATCATTCTGAAACGGCAGGAAATTGCAATTGTGTAGTTTATGAATGCAATTCATTTCAACTTGGGGGTTGGATGCATAGTCACTTTGGTTTCATCTATTCATGTTTTTTGCTGTTTGGCGAAACAAAACTTTTTTTTTAATATTTTTACAATTTCATTTGTTTTACTCTTGGCTTAATTCTCTACCCCATTTTTCCCTTCTGCGCACAAACACCTTAAGAAGATTGGGTGAGGCTTTGCAGACTATAAACATAATTTTACAGTTGCTTAACGAGACAGATTATCACTTTCTCTAAGTTCTTTACTTTCCATACAGACATTCCATTTCAATAAAAGAAAGCAATATTGAAGAAGTAGCAAAGAAAATTTGCTTGCAAATGAATAAAGGAGTGCCGTGGAAAACATAAAAAGATTCGCAGCGCAACAGCGTTTTTAATACAAATTTGCAAAAAAAAAATATTTACAATATATGTAACGAACCACCGGAAAGCAAAAAGTAGTGTATAATTACAAGGATATTCTTAGGAAAACTAGAAAAACTTTGTAGATTTATGAATTCATGGTTTAATCTGTGGTCAGATAGTTTAATTGATGATATTTGGCGTTAGAATACTCAAATGGCAACTAGTCTTAAAACTACTATCGGTTCCAAAACAGGGCAAATATAAGAATAATAAAAACCTAAAATCAAAATCGACAAAAGATATTTAAAGTACTCATGCCAAGTTGGTGCTTCCTAGCGTTTTGATGTTTCTCTAATAAATGAAGATGCCTAGAGTTTATTCCAAGTCACCTACGAACGGGCGATGGATTCACATTCCTTTGAGGTTTCAGCGCTAATAATTCAGCTATTGCGACCTTTACTATTGTAAAATGGATATCGACAAGAAAACAGTCACCAAAGTTCAGTGGAAGCTTTTTTCCACACAGACATACATACTCATATATTCACAATTTCTTAAAGCATTTTGCTCTACTCCAAACATAACTAAGTTGGTGGAAGGCTGCAGTTTTTCCGACCCATCCATACACATTTACACGCAGGGGGAATTGGTTTCACTTGATTGCGTTATTTGTTTGGCTTATGCAGCTATATTTCTTCTATTATCTGCTTTTCGCTGTTTGTTAAGAAATTATTATAATGTTATGTTATGTTATGTTATGTTGTTCTACTATTTTAAGCAGATATTAAGCTGTGCCACAAGCACGACACAATGTAACAACCCGGTATTGAAAAATATTAGTTTTTGACTAGATTTGCGGCTTGATGTCTCTCTAACAAATGGAGGGAGAAAAGAGCTATTTACAACAACAACACACGATGGTAAATAGGTAGTAAATTCATAAGATGTGTATGGCTAAAATCGCTAAGCCACCTCGAAAATGGTAGATTCCACGTAAGCGCTCAGAAACATAAATGGGTAGTAACAGTTGTTGAAAAAATTTCCATTCATATTTTTCCGCTTAGCGTCGCCAGCCATTTGGTCTCGGAAACTTCGGTATCTGAAGACTTAGTCTCTAGGTTAATCATTGCAATGGAGAGCTTTAAATGCGAAAGGGCAAACTTTTGCCGGAAATCTCGACTCAACGATATTTATAAACAAAATTTAACTAAGCGCGCAAAGGCATATAACCTCAATTTAGTCCATCAAAAACCAACTACCTTGTGAAAGTAATAATAACGTAGCTACAAACATACATATATGTAGTTTCATATTATCTGTAATACATATACTCTTACATATAAATGCACGACAACGTCGGTGTTTAGGTGTATGTGCATACATACTTTCGTAACGTATGTACATACTTATGTTCACTTTATCCCGTACCAGTACGCTAAGTTTTTCCCATTCATTTGTGTCCTGTTTCAACTCCTTCATCAGCAACCGCCGTCCCAAATTGCAACAAAAGGCTATATAATAAGAAACAAAAACCAAAGAGGAGTAAATTAAAGCCATACTCATATATACACACATACGAGTATACACCTACAAAGGAAAGAGGAAAAATTAGATAGCATCATAGACAGTGGTGCGAGGAAGTGAAAATGTGGTAAAAGCATTAGATGCAGCGAAACTATTCAGCTGTCTTGATTGCAGTTTTTCAGCTCTTTTCTCCGTCGCCGACCCCTCCTCCTCATCATCTTCCACTATATATCTCACCATGACTCCAGCCATAATGATGTCATTAATGCGAATTTAATTAAACTGAAACCCTTTGTTCCGTGACGTAATGTAAAAAAATACAGTTACAGTAAGCTACTGCCACCTGAATAGAAAAATAAAGACACCTGAAGAGTGTAATTTTCATGTGACAACATATTCAGCACAATCGTTTCAGCTCATATTGCTAATGTCTTTATATAGTTTATGAGTATGTATTTTATGCAGAGGTTTTTTTGTTTGTGCTTTCACCTTTTATCACCACATGCAAGCAGCTTTTCTTATAAATGTACATATATACCTGAATTCGATTTAAAATGGAAATTCTGTTATTTCAATTAATTTTTGTATATTTTTTTTTTCTTTAAAACTTGCGTTGTTTTACTGGAAAAATTCTAAAAGTTGTATCTCCCACATCATAGAAAATCAGTCCGAAAAGTTCTTAGCCACCACGCTGTGGCATGAGTATAATCCGAACAGCAAATAGTACATCTCATTAAACCGCACACCAAAAAATTCAGCTTTTTTTCAGCTTAGCCTCTGTAAAATACGTTTGTAAAAAACTTTAAAAAAATTTACTGTCAATAAATTTATTATTTATATATAGAAAATAATTTATACCTTTCATTACTTTCAGAATGTTCTCTTTGCAATCGGTTCGGCTTTCTTGTACTACGTCAACCACTTCAAGCTTTACTCTTCATTTTGTGCTAGTCATAGTAAGGCCCAAAAGGTGTTACATCCAAGTAAGTAAAATTAATTTATTAATTTGTATGATATATGATATATATAGTAAGTATCTATACATATTCATATTCTATTCTAGATACTTCTGCTGAAGGCGCTACTATTTCCATACGTAATATAGTTTTCCTCTTTCTTCTGTTTGACTACACAAATATCGAGAATGAAATTTCCATGCATTTTTTGTGATTGCACTCTACAAAAATATTTCTTTATCCCTGATAGGCTGCTGTGTATGGCACTTGTTATATCCCTTTTCGGTGTTAACTATTTGTTTTAGTGTTGTTCTCCACTCTCAAAATGACAACACCCTAACCAAGGGTGACTTTAACCTGCTATTCTACTTTCCTTATTCACTAATGGAGGAGAAATACTTAGTAATCTCATAAGAGTGTACATACTTGCGCTCGAGTGAAGTGAAATTTTTGCATAGATGATACTCGAAAAAATCAAAATGCCCGAAACCAAAGACAAAATCATGTCAAGTATTACTTGTGAGAATTATGGTTTTGCCGGCTTAATTGGATATTGGTTTCTAGTCATAGATTTACATAGCCTATAAACAAACACGCTCCTAGCTCATATTTCAATATATTTTTTAAAAAATCTCTGGTATATGTTTCTTCTCAGATGCTTGGGAATTAGAAGAAAACAAAAGAAAATTGCTCTTCTGAAGGAGCCGTAACTGGGGTTTGTAGTACAATAGTAAAGTTTTGAACGTTGTGGGAATCGTCGTAATTTGGTTAAACATTTTGAGTTAGGATAACTGGAGTTGTCGACATGAAATTTCTTCAGTTGAATAAGTAAATAGCAGACAAATTTTAAAACTAAAATACTTAATTTTACTCTTACTCTGAAGAAACATTAATTTAACATTATGGTGCAAATTTGTAGCCAATCAAAACCAGCACTCATTCGCACTTACACCCTTAAAACGTATTTTCAAGACACTTTAGTACAACAATGTAGCTATAGGCTTATATAAAAGAGTGTTGGATACAATAATTCCATAAATTTACGATATAACAACGAATTCATTGTATTTGCATACATATGTATTTACTTATGTATTGCCTGAATTCTTATACAAATATATTTACATTTTAAGTGCCACTTCAGAGTAATTGTAAGGCAATTACAAAATATTTATACCCTCACTTATCAAATTGCTGTGCCGTAACTTGCAACATAAAAACAAAAGTCTTAAAAATGTATTCATGAATATATATATATATACATATTTAAATACAAACAAATACATAAATATACCGATAAATGAGTTAAAATGCTACATCTTTGACCAGAATGTTTCTACATTCATTTTCAAGAATGTATGAGCATGTTTTTATACATATGAATGTACATGCCTACCTGCATTTAAATATGTGCACAATGCTGCGAATTACTTGGCTGTCCTTTGGTATGCACTTCAATGTTTTGTAACTAATATGAATTATTTTGTGGATACCACATCACCATTTATTAGAAAATGCGTACATACACATAGTTATTTGTTTGTATGCTATGCCATCAATGTACCATAGAAGTTTTACTGCAATTTTATATTGCTTCATCAGACATTAACTAATTTTTATGTGTAGTTTAATTTAATTGCGCAAGGCACTGAAGCCAGGGTCCGAAGCTTTTGCTCTTCCTGAGTAAAAATGAAATTTAAAGTGTTAGCAGTGGCGCTTTTGTTGTAACCAATAAAGCGTTTTCGGCCGAGCTCCTCTCTCAAGTTGCGATATGTGCCTTCACAACATAGGGTCCTGCATTTGTGATTCATTCAAGTGATTCATTAGTAATAACAATTCGATGAGCAGAGCAATCATCTTGAATAGGAATAATCTGAACAGCTAAATGGGTTCCAGACATTATAACTTATATTTTGTGTTAGTTAAAAAGGACATATATACGAGGGTTGCCTACTTATATATCGGAATTCGGAGTTATAAGTTATGCACTCTGGCAACTAACAATATTACCATTTTCGATATTATACATAAATACTCAAAACGTCTTGTGATGCGAACCCTAGTTGTATTTCTTCTTCTTCCTCCTCCTTTCCTTCTTCCATGTTTATGTTCAATTGGCGGTTTATAAGCGGTGATTGCCCAACAAAAGGAGGGGCAGACAGTTTGTTCCTAAGTGCCGTTCAACGCTGATGGATTTTTATGAGGAGCTTTTAGTTTCATGTCACAAATACACACATAGGTGTTGGAATTCCCTTCCTAGGAGCAACCACAACTAGAAAAACAATAAATTAATTTTCTACAAATATTTGAGTGTTGATCTGCCTAGAGCTCGAGCCTGTCGCATTGCAGCTAACACTCCTAGCACTCAGCTACAGCAGCCGCTTTGACTCTTGGCAAGCCACCAGAAAGATTTGTATTCAATATGTACTAATTATTCTAATTACAATGAACTTAAAGCCAGCTGCCTAAAAAATAATATTTTAGTGTAAAGGAGGCAATACGGAATGGAAGTAAGAATCCGGATATAAGATCTATTGGCTCGTTTCTCGATCTTCCGGAGCTCAAATCTAATGCTACAGACTATGACCTTTTCAAGGTTTTGACCTAAAGACCTCATTTTTCGTGCCAATGGCATATTAATTGTAATAAAAAATGTTTTATATAAAAAGATAAGTAAATAATCAGGATGACTGTGACATATAGATACCATGAATCAGATTATCCAGTTCGAAATTATTATTTTTTTTGTTATGACTCATCACCGTAGTCTTTGAGCGTCAGATGTTTGCAACGTCATTTCTAAAATCATCAAAATTAAGGTTCATCCACATTTATTTATTTTATTTTATATATGTGTATATATATATATTAACCTATTTTACATATTTGTTTTTTTTTTCCACAGATGAAGGTAATCACGCACTTCAAGAATTCCTTGCCGCACGTAATCCAAAGCAACAACACAGTAGTACATTGGAATCGTACTTAATCAAACCGATACAACGCATCCTTAAGTATCCTTTGCTATTGCAACAGTTGCGCAATTTAACAGATGCACGAGCTGATGAACATTTACATTTGTGCGGTGAGTATTTATATGCATTTCCACATGAGCATAAACAACCGCAACATATACACACTTATGTTTATATTCATACCTATGTAGCTGCTATCAATGGGCTTCGGTATTATCCTAGTTTCTCATATATATTTACATATTTTTCTACTTTTACTTAATATTTCCAACATAATTAATAACATATCCTTAATAATACGAACCTTTTTGTTTTTGTTGGATGTGTGCTTGATATTTCATTTCTTGGTTTATCTTTATTTATTCATGCCTATTTACATTTCAAAATCCAAATCTCTTTACGTATATTCCAAAACGTATATATCCATATTTCCATTTATAAACATAATTTATTTTTTTATTTAAATTTAATTTTTAATTATTTTTTTTTTTTTTGCTTTACCTTTATAGAGGCGCTCAAGGGCATGGAAAAGGTGGCTGAGCATATCAATGAAATGCAACGAATACACGAGGAATATGGTGCTATATTCGATCATTTATTCCGACAACATCAGAAGTCATGCAAGCAACCAATTGATTTAAGTCCAGGTCAGTGGATAATAAATTAAATTTAGTAATTAATAAGCTTGTAGTACGACTGATGAATACAATATTTAATCTAGTATATTAAAGTCCTTCATGTATGCTAGAGCACACAAGCTAGCTTGCCTCTACTTAATAATACTCACTTTCATATCCGATGGATGGAAGCTCTTTGGAGAAGGGTGATGGCAGAGTAAAAATTAAAATATAAGTCTTCACTGATTAAAGCTTTGTTTTCGCTTCAAAAAAGAAAACTGAGAAGAACTGCTAATGTGACCACCACTTGACCCGTCCATACTCATAACCATCATCTGCTATTTCTTTGAGAATAAGCTCTGTAGGTGACCCTTTATAAGCGGAAGGATGTGTATATTGAATATTACTATATGATAGCCAATCGCAATAGTAGTTTAGAGGAGGACCAGATAGGGTTATAATATAACATTTAGCTTTAAAAGTCAATATTTCTTCAATTATTCAGCTGGCTTAGAATTTTTATATACAGTATTATTATTAGACCACATCAACAGAGCATTATTATAATAATTATGTTTACTATTGTATTATATTAGAATTTACATTATTTACCCTAAAAATTTTCACTTAATCTATCAAAGAATTATTATCCAATATCAAGATCATTCATTCCTCGATACAGGTGATTTGCTCTATTATGGTGGCGTTGAGTGGCTTAACATTTCCGACTTTCTGGGTAAAATCAAGAAAGGCTTAGAGTTGCATGCGATGTGTTTTGTTTTTAAATCAGCGGTTGTGTTCCTGTGCAAAGAACGTTTGCGTCAAAAGAAAAAGTTAATGGTAAATAGGGAGCATCCCATTAATTTAATTAAGATTTATGAAAAACCCTTGTATCTCTTCACGTTTTATGCAGGGCGTTTCGAGTAAAAACGCACCCAACGAAGTCGAAATTATACGCTATCAAGTTCTCATACCAGTAACCGAGGTACAAGTGCGTGCCTCTTCTGCAAAAGATATGGACTCACACTTTTTATGGGAATTGATACATTTACGCTCACAACTTCAACGACGCTCCGAAAAAGTTTACGTACTCTCTAACAGCACGGCTGATTTTCGAAATGCTTTCCTTAAGACTATAAGACAGATCATACGAGAAAGTGTACGCAATATGTCAATTCCGATGAAGGGCTTCGGTAGTAGTGGCTCTGTGTCGGGAATCTCTTCACAAGGGGGCGGTTCTGGCAGTTCGCAAACACTTGAGCGGCCAAAGCAACAGGTTGTACGAGTATATACAGGCATACCTAAAATGTTTTTGTACGAAATAAATCTTCTGTCTTTATTTCTTAGATAACAATCATACAAGGCTCACAGACTTTGGGTAAACCGAAAAAGAAGTCGGGTTCGCAGCGTCATTCTGCCGGTAACATTGATTATGATAACTTATCCGGCAGTCAAGAGGCCGAAGACGTGCCAATACTGCATCAACATCATCAACAGCAACAACAGCTGCAACCTAGTGGATTCCGCGGACGAAGCAAGACCGTAGGTGATGCTACAGGTATGCATGCAGTATTTTACTCATTCAGAACACCTATAGTGATCACCTTGCTATATGCGCCCAAAACTGTATCTATTCTTCATCAAAATATTTTGTTTTTTTATTGTATTGTTTCATTGAAGCTATGCACTTTAGTTTTGAATCAGTCAGTGTTTACAATTTTCATTTTTATCGGTATCTCTGAAGCGTTAAACGGGTAAAATAATATCAGTCGGATTGAAATAGCTGTACATGTATCATTGTAATCACGTCCCCACCTATTTTTTATCTAGCTAAGACTAGTTATTGAGCATTTTTTGCTATAACTTACATATTAAATATTTCATTCAATGGAGAAAGATGCAAAATGTTAGTAAGGAGATACGCAAAATAAGAAATTATCTTTTCTCACGGAAACCCCATAGCCTTCAAAATGACCGAGCTTGTGCGAAAAAACTGCAGACCGTTTTCAAAATGTTTATTGTTGTTGTTGTTGTTGTTGTTGTAGCGGTTTGCTAACCCCGCTGTTTCAACGTGATTGGACCAAAGGGAGAGGGGGGTTAGATGAGTCGGTTTAAGGTGGCATGTGAAGAGGTGGTTAGTGTCGTGCGGAGACTCTCCACATGCAGGGCATACGTTAAATATGCTGAGGTCGAGTCTGGACAAGTAAGAGTTTAAACTAAGTTGTGCCAAGGTCGCGCGGGTCCTTAGAGGCAGCTCGAGCTCGTTATATTTCAAATGTTTCTTCGATAATGGGATTGGGATCTACTTACAAAAAACCCAAACATTCACTGATTTTTATTAATAAAGATGTTAAAATAAATGCAGCTATTTAAAAATTATATGAAGCCTTCCGAATGGAGAACGGTATCCGTGTAACACGGACTTAACCCGTTTAGATTATTTCATATGTTCCAAGCGAAAAAAGGTAAGACAAGAATATTGAATGAAATACCAAACCAAGTTGTCCGTGTCGCTTGCAAAAATTTTCTTGGTATTTAAAAAAAATTAAAGAAGAAATGGTTAAGATTGATGAATAAAATAAATATGTGTATAAATACACGTTAATACATACATAATTATTAAAACTTTCTATAAAATTAAAGGGTGTGGCAGTTATTATTTTACACGCTTTTCTTTCCGTAGTTTTTGAATATGTTTTTTCTTTCTTCTCACATAAATATGTGGCCCTTTGGTGATATTACTCTCTCAAATAAACTTTATGTAACTAATCTCCCCTTCCAACATATTAGATCCACTGCAACAGCAGCTTCACCAACATCAAAAACATATGCAACATCATCAACAGCAACAACAGCAGCATATGCACCACCACCATCAGCAGCAACAAGTGCATCATCAGAGTGACATTGAGCGTATGGATCCTGGTACCAAGTCTGAAGGAGAAGAGGACTCCCAGCAAGGCACAATCAAAGCGAAAGCCACGCTGGGTCGAACACCAAATCATTTGACCTTAAGGTTTGTTGAAAGAAAAATATTTCTGAAGATTACCATTCGTTTTTTGGAAAGCCATCAATAGCTACTTTGTTATGCATTTATTTCGATTAAGTTTGTTTTCGCTGTTCACAAAACAAAAAAGGGGAACTTCTCGTGATAAAAATAAAATCAACATGATTAACTAGCATAGTCGTGGGACCTCATCTTTCCTCTGCTTCCACCAGCGGGTAGTGCATCGAATACTTTCAAAGCTGTAGTGCTTTCATCCATTCGGACAACGTGACTATGTCAATACGCTGAACTACGTCAATATCGTCGGCTCTTAAAGAAGACACACGATAAGGAATCACCCTGTCTAAAACCTCGTTTGGTATCGAACGGCTCAAAGAGGTCCTTCCCGATTCTGACGGAGCTTTTAATGTTGCTTAAAATCAGTTTACATAGCCATATAAGTTTTGCGGGGATATCAAATTCAGACATGGCTGTGTAAAGACAGCTCCTTCTCCTGCTGTCGAAGGCTGCTTTAAAATCGATGAAGAGGTGAGGTGGTTTGTGTTGATTGTCTTTTCCCGGGTACTTTCCAAAATTTGGCACATGGCGAATATATGGTCAAAAGTTGACTTACCAGGTCGAAAGCCACACTGATAAGGTCAGTTTGTTGACGGTGGGCTTCAGTCTTTCTCACAATACGCTCCACAGGACCTTATATGCGAAATTAATAAGGCTTATTCCCGGTAATTGTGGATTGGGCAGCGCGCAGCTAGGTTCCAATAGTAAGCTAAGAAGCTTACCCTGCCGGGCTATTGCTATTCGGACTAATTCATAGTCGGATAACGGAACGACTTTTCCATCGTCATCACTTGGAATTTCGGGCTCACCATCTCCGGGTGTTTCATTTTGACTGCCATTGAGCAGGCTGGAGAAGTGTTTCCTTCATAAATTCAGTATACTCTGGGTATCCGTCACTAGATCACCTCCCTGGGTCTTACAAGAGTTTTCTCCGATCTTGACACCTTCCATAAGTCGCCGCATCTTATCGTAGAATTTTCGAGCGTTACCCTTGTCGGCCAGTTTCTCAAACTCCGCGTACTCAAGCATTTCGGCCTCTTCAAACCTTCCTTGTGCTTGTTGACGGGCGTTCTTTGATACACAGAGGCGGGTGCGGGTGCATATCTTCGGTGCGACAACATAGTGAACCGAGTCGATATTAGGACATAGGAACGTACACACGTCTAAAACACTTCCTTCAATCACAACATTGTCGATTTGGTTGAGAGTTTTTCGATCTGGAGACATCCAAGTAGCTTGGTGAAATTTTTGTGATGGAATCTAGTGCTATAGGCAACCACATTTCGGGCCCTGGCGAAGTCGATCAGCCTCAGCCCATTTGAGGATGTTTCATCGTGGAGCCTGAATTTTCCGACTCTTGTCCCAAAAACACCTTCTTTGCCGACCTTAGCGTTGAAGTCGCCAAGCATCATTTTGCCCGTCACGGCAGGGCCAGCGCTCATAACAATGCTCGTAAAGTATATTCGTAAAAGTAAGTATACTCCTAAAAGGCATCCTTGAGCACCTTCCCAATCAAGGAACCGGACATTCCAAGTGCATGCCCTCAAATCGTAGTCCTTAAAACATTTTCGGAGGTCGTCATCAAAAAGGGGGTCTCTCATCCGAAGCTTACTTAGATTTTGCAAAGAGTTAAGGTTTTCTTGTGGTGGGTCCCAAACCCTACGCACAACCGCATGGGATTCATTATCATGATTTATTTTTGAATATTATTAAATCTGCTCATAAAAGAAACGAGCTTCTGGTGGAATAGCTTAAAAGATTTGTATAGTCAAGTGTTGAATTCCATTCCTGAATTAATAAACTTTCTTAAATACAAATATCGCCTTTCTACCAACTTTAGTGCAACGGACTACACTGTTGAAAGAGTTGTTGTATGCTAAGGGAGGAACCACTGACTCATAGCATCGAACATTTTTGAAGAAGTGTACAACAGAGCATTTCTATATGGTCTAAACACTTCTTCTCTGGGCGAAAAATTTGTTGATAGTTACTGCTTTTAATATTGTCAACTTTCATGAGGTAGAAGGTAAAGCCCTAAAATCTTAATATTAATATCCTTACAAGATCTTTGACTTCCCCAGGTAGATAAAATAAGCAGGCATATTAAACGGAAACCCTTATACCTTCTAACTTAATTTAGTCCCGACCTGTCTTCGTAAAGAATTTTAGTCTACTTCGAGTTCGGTCTAGCTTCGAGTTAAGCTTAATATACACGTGACTAAGAATCCGTGTTAATCTGACCACTAAATCGAAGCAGCAGTACCTCTCACAACAATTTGTTTTATTCATCATTGAATTTCCGATATTTCCTTATGTGTCATGCTATTTGTGCTCTTTACATTCTCTCTTACATACATGATGACAATCGACATCACTCAAACCATTACAACATTTCAAACAACACTAAATCCATCATAACAACATTCATTTGATTCCTCCATGCCAACTGTTTATGTTTATAATATTGTGTTCTAAACTAATCACTGCAGCACCACATCAACCCTGTCGGTCGGCAGCACTGGTAGTCAAGCGCGTTTGATACAATCATCCCATCCGCCATCAAGCTATCAACCAGTACTCATGAAAGATTTAGGTAAGACTAACTCAATAACATACGAACTATCGTCTTCCCCTCAAGCAGAGATCATGGATGCGCCAGCGACAGTGAACTCGTTATCAGTAGCTATGGAGGCAACAGATCAAATGATGTTTATGATCGAAGAGATGGGCGTGGAAATGAGAGAGATGGACGAGGAGGAGGGCGTGGAGACAGCAGAGATGGATTATATACTAGAGTCGGAATTGCAAACTGCATCCGTAGATGCAGCTTATAATTTAAATTTAGGTATTAGTGGTAGTAGCAGTAGTAGTAGAGTAATAAGGGGTGGTAGTGATTTAGCCAATAACACAAGGATCAGCGGCAGCGGTAATGGAAATAACCTACATTATGTGCATACACCAAAACGTTTGTCACCACGTCAATCACCTAAAGCAGACATCGAAGTAATTGAGATTTTCGCCAATGAGCTAAGTCAATTGACTGCCGCTCAGCAAGTATCGGTTGTGCATCATTCAGCAAAAGAGTCTTCCAAGTACAAGTCGAGTAGTCGGCAAACAAGTGTCAGCAGCAACGGTAGTGGAAATGGAAATAGTAACAACGAGGTTAGTGTTTCTGCAAGTACTCACGTTGTCGATAAGCACTTGAGTGATCTCGAGCATGAGCAACTCACAGACACGACTTACGATATTGCAGCATATATGGCCAATCTGAAAGAACAGACCCTCGAATCGCAAGAATTGCAAATGGACGTGCAAGATCAGCAGCAAAATGATTCGAGCCTATCGCCGGAGCCTCAAACAGTTGTTGAGAATACGCAGCAGACGGTCGTGGCTGAGATTGAATCGCCACCACGGCCTGCCACAGAGTCGGATAGTAGTGGCATAACTACTGGCACTTCGGAAAAATCCGAAGACGAATCCGAGTATGCTGCGTCGTTATCAGCGCACGTGATCATTGACAAAAAAGTAGACAAAGTATTCAAATCAAAGACCACGGAAAAAGCACAAAAATCGAGTAGCGGCAGTAGTAGCAGCATTGCAAGTGCTGGCGCTAAGCCGAAGATTACAAAATCACCGCGTCAAAGCATTTACATTTCGCCCGATCGTTCCAAGTCACAAGGTAGCTCTCCGGTGCGCATAATTAAAATAAAATCACCACGTACAAGCGTTAGCGAGCAGGGTAAGCGCTTAAATGTCAGCTCTAGTCGCGACTCTTCGGCCGATCGTCTGTCCGGCGGACGTCGCACACCAAGTCCACGCCGCAGCTCGGACGGTAGTGGTATACTGAAGCGTCCAACCAGTCCCGCCACCGGCATTCTTAAACCGCCACCAAGTCCTAGCAAATCAAGGAGTCCGGACCGCAGCTGCCTCAAGAAACTCACCCCAGCGCATGACTGTAGCATAGAATCGCTCTCACCACACATTTCACCACGCGACAGCATTGAACACCTCTCACCTGATCGGGCCGGCACCAGTCTTTGTCAACGACACTCTCCACGCAGCAGTTTTGATAGCCGCAGCTCCGAACCTAACCTCGATATACCACGCTCTTCCTTAAAATCCCCCCGCGGCAGTTTTGAATCGCGTTCACCTGAGCGCTGTAGTCGTAAACGTAGTCAATCTGCGCATGGGAGCTTTGAAACTGGGCAACGAGCAGCCGCGTTGGCAACAGCCGAAGCTTACTATCAATATTATCCCATTTATGATAATCAGACTTGTAGTGACCATTACATCTCAGCAGCTACAACAACAAACCTGCCGCGCGATGTTGGCACTAATACGCCGACCACAACTACAATAGGTACAAGTACTCGTCGTATAAGTAAGTCGTTAGAGCGTTCGACATCGCGTGAGAGTACAACCAGCAGTTCGTATCGTTATGGCGTATCACCTGAACGCATTTACACAATCAACACAACGGGCATGGACCTAGGCCCACTACGCTCGCAATCGGCTGAAAATACATTTGTTCCCTATTCCTACGATCCCCACACAGGCGAGCATTATGAAATTCAGCAACAAGATTTTGCTGCGCCCGCCGCACCGCCGGCTGCTTTCATGTACGCGCACGAAGCACAATGTCCACATGATCGCATTTCGGCCTACCAGCTGAGCTCCTCAGCACCCGAGTACACAACATGCATTGACTGTTTATATCAGAAGCGACCTTCCTAGCATAAGGCCCGCGTGCGACAAAGTCGTACGCGGAAGAAATCACCGCGAGGCATAGTAAATCCACCGACGGCTACATCATCCGGCATGATTTGTGCCGCGAGCTTTGATCCAGGGGCAGCAGTTGCAGCGGGCGCTAGTGAAGCAAGTGATTGTGTGGATTGTCACGATTACTATGAGATACATGTTTAAGGATGCACTAGAAATTATAACAACGTCCATGAAAGAAGAAATTATGATTAACCTATATAAAAAGGTTATCAGAACTAAATAGACGTGGTTGAAATCAACTTATTGCCATCCTATACTTGTATGTACTTACACAGATATGTATATACAAACATTTACCATTGTTGTTTGACACAGGGATTTTTGAAATAATAAAATTATATACATATACATTTTTACCGTATTGTATTGTACATACATACATACATACATACATGTTCGTGTATGTAGTCCTCTAGTTTTAGATACCAAGATTTACAGTTTAATGCAGTGTGTATGTATTAGAAAAACCAAACATTTGTTGCACGTAGTCTTTGTGGCAGCCAACGGAAAACGCGAATCAAAGTCTTCATTTGCATTTATTAAATAGTTTTCTGACAAAATGTTAAAAACCTGAAGTAAAGGGGACTAAATTTAGCTAACAAGATGACAGTTCGCCCATATATACAAATACTAAGCTAAAAGGTTACAAATACTAAGTTAATTCGAAATTGCATACATGAGTTTATGTTACCAATTTATTTAAAAGATGATAACGAACTCGGAACACTAAGTGAATGCATCAAACAAAATATGCAATTAAGGATTTGGAAATGGTACTTTTCAATTCGGGAATTTAAGAAATATTGAATTGGAACTCATCCATTATCAAAGACAATCTTTCCACCTGGTATTGCAGAACATTTAGCGATAAAAATAGAGAGCGAAAAACATCTGTTTTACGATAATATGGTGGCAACAACACAAACACTTCCTAAAAAGAAAATAAGTGTAATACTGTTATATGTATGTATGATACACTAAAAAAAAAAGTCCCGAAATGTAATTTTATCAAATAAATTTTAATGCTATCAAGTGCTAAGGCACTCATCAAACGAAAATGTCTTGGCAGTGGAGTGGAACCATCTTCCGCACACCACACAGCCCACATTGAAGAATTGGCAGATAGGAATGTTTAACCACTAAGAAGCGTTCGCTGTCGTTTCTTATCGTTAGGCATTTAACTGACGATCTTTCAACGAAACAGACGATACAAAAAATAAAGCGCCGTTATCCAACACAATTTCGAAGAGGAGTTATTGCCACAAAAATTAATGCGTTGGATGGTAAAAGACATATTAAAACAAGAAAAAATTCAAATGTTTCCTGTTTGTCATTCTGGCTACAAATTTTATTTTCAAATTTAAAATGGAGAAAAACAACAAGAAAGAGTAATGAGCAACCGGTGGAGGTTACAAACAGATGGTATTGACTCCTCTGGAAGAATCTGTTGCAAATTTGTTGGGATTGGAAGAGCTGTTAATTCCAGCTGGTGCTATATTTGGTGTGATTGGTGATAACGATGAACTGCAGCGCGACTTTAATAGCAACAGATTTAATAGAGTTCCTGAAAATTCAAACGAGGCATATTCTAGAGTAGATATAACATCAGTAGATAATGTGCCATTTGCCGGCATTTCAAAAAAATACAAATCAACTGAAATTCCAAAATTTCACAAATAAATTTCCCAAAAAACAAAATTTGGCGGGCAATTCGAATCGTTTCGTCTGCATTGCTTGAACAGAATATCTAAACAAAGACGAAACGATGAAAATGGCGTTGAACAGTGACGATCGTCAACGAAGACATAGACGATATTCAGCATAATGCCTAATGTCATTGAACTTAATAAGCTGACTAACAATGTGTTGGATATTTTTAAATTTACACTTTTTCATTTACCGAATTGCGCCCTCGGGTTATAACCCTTATTTAATATGTAAATAACTATTGTAATGAAAAGCAAAAAAAAAAATATCTCTGGTGTTATTAAATCTGGCTTTGCAACAAAAGCAAATTGTATCTATTGAATCAGAAAAATTTATGAGAACCATATATATAATACTACTACAATCAGGAATTTCCAAAAACATTTAACAACTTTGAAAAAAGGGATTGATTGTTAGATTATTAATATAAAAACAACAAACAAATCCATATAAAATCATAGCGAGATCCTAATAAGCGGAATACCTAAAACTGAAATAATAATCAACAAAATTATTCGATCGTTTATCTAAAAGCACGAATATCGTTGAGGATGGAAAGTTTTAAGGTGTCATTTATTATTGACAAATGGATTTAAATCGACAGCTATCCTAGCACTTTGTCAAGTCAAAAAAATATTATAACCAAACAAGAAAAATAAGAAAACTCGCAAACAAACCACAACCACGAAAAATACGAATACTCGTATTCGCAAATAGTCGACACTCAAGTAAACCGAAACTAACGTAGGAGAAATTAATTAAAATATTTACAGCAGTTCTAGCTAACACATGAACAAATAGGCTTTCTGAAAAAGTAAAAACAGTGAGTGAAAAGAAAACACAGGCAAAACAAAGTTACAAATAAGTTAGGAGTTAAGGAAGTCGATATATGTATATGCTTTCGTATATATACATATATATAGGTTAGTTAACTAAAACTTGAAGTAAAGTCAGTAAAAGCGAATAAAATACATACGAAGCAACACAATGATCTAAAAAAATTATATATATATTTAAAAATCTAAAAATCTTATGAGTTCACAGGCTTGAGACGATCCCTCAATATGAATGTTCGGTATAATACAAATACTCTCATACATTTGC